GAGTTGTCAGTGTGACGAAGTCATCAGAAAAGCTAATGGCACTTTATCGTGCATCAGCAGATGCATGACAAACAGAACCAAGGAGGTGATACTTCCCCTCTATTGGGCGCTGGTCAGACTGCAGTTGGAATACTGCGTGCAATTTTGGGCGCCGCACTTCAAGAGGGATGTGGATAACCTGGAGAGGGTCCAGAGAAGGGCCACTCACATGGTTAAGGGCTTGCAGGCCAAGCCCTATGAGGAGAGACTAGGGCACCTGGACCTCTTCAGCCTCCGCCAGAGAAGGTTGAGAGGCGACCTTGTGGCTGCCTATAAGTTCATCATGGGGGCACAGAAGGGAATTGGTGAGGCTTTACTCACCAAGGCGCCCCCGGGCGTTACAAGAAATAATGGCCACAAGCTAGCAGAGAGCAGATTTCGATTGGACATTAGGAAGAACTTCTTGACAGTTAGAGTGGCCAAGGTCTGGAACAGGCTCCCAAGGGAGGTGGTGCTCTCCCCTACCCTGGGGGTCTTCAAGAGGAGGTTAGATAGGCATCTAGCTGGGGTCATCTAAACCCAGCACTTCTTTCTGCCTATGCAGGGGGTCGGACTCGATGATCTATTGAGGTCCCTTCTGACCCTAACATCTATGAATCTATGACGTGGTCAGGAAGGCTAACCGCACCTTGTCATGCATCCACAGATGCATCACGAGCAAGTCCAAGGAGGTGATCCTCCCCCTCTATGTGACACTGGTAGGTCATGGTTGGAGTACTGTGTCCAGTTCTGGGCACTGCACTTCAGAAGGGATGTGGACAGCATTGAGAAGGTCCAGAGGAGAGCCACTCGCATGATGAGGGGGCAGCAAGGCAGGCCCTACGAGGAGAGGCTAAGGAACCTGAACCTGTTCAGCCTCCACAAGAGAGGCTGAGAGGGGATCTGGTCGCCATCTACGAACTGGCCAAAGGGGACCAGCAGGCAATGGGAGAGTCCCTGTTCCTCCGACCACTACCGGGAATAACGAGGAATAACAGCCATAAATTGACTGAGAGTAGATACAGACTAGATATTAGGAGGCACTACTTCAGTCAGGGCAGCTAGGATCCGGAACCAACTTCCAAGGGAAGTGGTGCTCGCTTCTTCCCTGGGGGTCTTCGAAAGGAGGCTAGATAATCACCTAGCTGGGGTCGTTTGACCCCAGCATTCTTTCCTGCCCATGGTCTTGATGATCTGCTCAGGACCCTTCCGACCTTACCGACTATGAAACTATGAAAAATAAAAATCAACATTTTTCTTTTTCCATTTCAATATCTAACATGAAAATTAGCTCATTGGTGGCTGGGACAAAATCTGAATGATTTTGCTCATACATTGAGGTAATGCATGCACAGATTGGTCTTGGACAGATGAGCAAGCAGCCTCATTGATTAACCTTGTCAACAGTGCACAATCAAGTGGGGTTTTTTAGACGAACTGTCAAAAATAGCAGCATGTTGAACATTTAAAGAAAATTTAGAAAAAAGACCCTGATGAGAAGAAATAATTGCAACATCCAGATTACCTATTGACTAGGGATAATCTTCGCCAGTTTTTGAACAGTAAGGATATGTCTACATGAGACACTTTACAGTGCAACAGACTAATTTGCTGCGCAGTAAAGCATCACATGTGTAGTAATTAGAGCACAGTAGTCTATAACTTACTGCACTGCCAGCTCATTCCACCAGATGCATGTGATATCCAGCAGTGCAATAAATTACTGCATTTATATGCACATGTAGTTGGTGATGTTGGGATTAGTTTACTCTGGCTCAAGGTGAGGCAAGGTATAGTAAATCAGATTAATTGCATGTGTGCAACAGAGTGTGAATAAACTGTTATGGACAGAAAGACAGACTAAGGCTTTTATAATATTAGAATATGCAAGTTACTGGATGAACACATCAATGTTAAAAAAAAAAATCAAAGGTCTTCCAGTGCCTAGATGACTTCTTGAGGTAGCATGATTAAGGCATGCCAGGTTCTGTAGCTAACAGCCATGGGCGGATCAAGGATTTTGAAAAGTGGGGTGCAGATGGAGTGATATTCATAGATTCATAGATGTTAGGGTCGGAAGGGACCTCAATAGATCATCGAGTCTGACCCCCTGCATAGGCAGGAAAGAGGGCTGGGTCTAGACGACCCCAGCTAGATGCCTATCCAACCTCCTCTTGAAGATCCCCAGGGTAGGGGAGAGCACCACCTCCCTTGGGAGCCCGTTCCAGACCTTGGCCACTCTAATTGTGAAGAAGTTCTTCCTAAGGATAGGTGGGGTTCTTCCTGCGATAGGTGATAAATTATCACACAAAACACAACATATTTTTTGCCAGTTAAAGAGAACTAAGATGCTTTACTAATATGCAAGGGCTATATTATTCAGTTTAAATTCAAAGCAAAAACAAATATAACTACAGGAATGCACAATAAATTGCTCGATTTTATATAACATTAAAAAAAAACTAGGTAAAAATAGCCAAAAGATATTGTGTCATTAGTTCTGTAGTTATTATAGTTAATTGCACATCTCGTATTCAGATTCATTAAACAAAATCTAGCCTTCTTGAGCATCTTGTCAGTGTCTCCAATACTTCAGTCAGTTATTCTACACTTGAGTTAATATTACAACACCTAAATTAAGGTTTTCAGCTAGAGAAAAAGGCTCTTTGTTAAAATACCTGTATTCTGGATACTTAAAGGTGGTGGAACCTGGGCTGATCCCAGTTTTTACAATAGGAGAGAAGCCACCACCAAGCACTTTCATAGATAAAAACTGATGTTGGGTCAAAACTAATGTAAACTGACAACAGAATTGAAAAATCCCAGGCTTTCTCACATTCTGATTATTTACTGGCCACAGAAAAATGCCTGTGACCTACTTTAAGTGTGAAGTGATATTTTTTAATTTCCCCCCTGAATACTTTTACCCAAAGTGCTGGGATAGATAAAGGACTAGATAATATACCTGGGTATGTTCCAAATGGTCATATAAAGTTGGATTTGTAATTTGACACAGTTCAACCCATGTAACAAAACTACATATTGGCCTGGTGTTTCCGGAGGCCTTAGTAGGCATCAATCTAGTCGTTCAAGAAACTCTGATCATTCGCTAGCAGACAGCAGTACCGGAAAATTGGACTATTGACTAGCTAGTGCCAAGCTGTAATCATGAATACAGAAAGAGAATATACCGGGGGAAATCTTTTTTTATTTAGAGGAGGAAATCATAACCCCCTGTTGTGCACAACTCAAAGCATCTGCTTTTTTCCTTCAGTGGAAACAGATATTTAGACAAGCCTTCACAGGACTGGAGTGTTTTACCCATGTGCACTGACTGTGGCTACCACATTGTATCTCTATGGTTACATGACTGGGTCAAAGACTGAGTAAAAAAGAGCTGCGAATACATTATGAAACCCTGAAAAGCAGGTAGGTTCAGTCTCAGCAGTGGCAAATTTACCTCAAAGTGAATGTTCACTGACTCTCACATGCTTTCACACACCTGTCTCCCAAGGCGCAGCCTGCTCATGCCTCCCGCTGTGGAGTGCATGGCTTGTGGCTGGGTGGTATCAGGCTGCCAGGGTGCGTCCAGACGAGCGCGTGGCGCGCGTGGGGCTGGTGGCGCTGCAGGCCCATCGGTGGCGCTGCAAAACGCACGGGACCACATGCAGGCGTTCACCACGCTGCTAATTTGCAGCGTGGTGGGTATTTTGAAACCCTGACATGCCGGTGTCAAAAAACATGCACCTGAGAAACAGAAGCCGGACGGTGCACGTGGCGGCAGCGTGCACCGCCCCAAACCGGAGCCAGGCAGGCCAGAGCCAGGCCCCGTGCACCCAGATCGCGGCCACTGCAGCCCGGGGAAGTTGCTGGGGCCAGCCCCCACCAGGAGCGTCTTTCCCATGCTAACCCCACACGCAGGGGCGTGCGCCAGGGCGATCTGCCTTGAGCTGTACCTCTGAGCTTGTCCAAACCCTCAAGGCACAAATACTTTGTGGTTTGAAGCATCAGCGCGTGGAGCAACCTGCAGCTGCGATGTGCCTGGAAAGAGGCAGGTTGAGGCCCGCACCAGCCCGAGCGCTGCCAGTGGCTGCCCTGGGGGGAGCTGCCGGCTGCTCCCCATCCCCGGCACGCGCAGAGGCTGGGCCGAGCACCTCCTACTCCGCTCGGCTGAAACGGGACAAGGCCGCAGAGGCGCCGGCGGGGCCGTGGGGATCGCCCGGCCTGGCGGAGCTGCCCCGGGCAGCGGCGCGTCACGTCTCCAGGCAACTGCCGGCCCCGCCCACGCCTCACCCGACTGGTTCTCTCTCACTCAATGAGGGCGCTCAGGCCTCCCCCCACATCTGTCAACTTCCGCCCTCGAGCTGCACTGTCAAATCAGGATGCGAGAGCCTCACTAGGTCCCACCCCTGTGCTCCTGGCAACCAATGGGATAAATGCTTTGGCTCCCTCCTTCCATACCCGTTAGACGCACATTTTCTCCCCGGAACTCCGCCCCTCCCTCCCTCCAGAGCAACGGGAGCTGGCGCCTTATTCTGACTCCGCCCCCCCGCTGGCAGCAGCCAATGGAAACGGGTTCCGCTCCCCTCCCCCTCCCGCCCCGC